AAGACAAAATCCGTTCGTTTCCTCGCCAGAAAACAAAAACTATGAGTCCTTAAAAAAAACCCCCTACGATACGCGATAGATAATTATGTGTTGAATAACCCCTATAAATTTCAAGCAAATCGATTCAGTGGTTCTCGAGATATTTCTGGTACCAGTTTGAAAAATGTCGTTTCGAGAAAAACGCGTTTGAATATTCAACATATGTTTTGGTTAAGGGGGCATATACACCTAGAAGGCAAAAAAAAACGTTCATTTTCTGGAATTTTTTTCTGGAAAACATACATACATACATACATATGTACATACATACATCTGGGAAATTTAGGAAAGACGTTAAAAAAAAAAAGTTGCCTAAAAATAGATATCAAGCCATTGTACTGTCAGGGCTGTAACTTCGCCATTTTTCGAAATTATGACTTGAAATTTGCACCAGACATTCTCGAAACATTAAACTTTATGAATATGTAAAAATCCAAAAATCGATTTTTTTGACCCTCCTAGGTGTATATGCCCCCTTAATTTGTCTCATTATTCAAAAAAGTATTAAGGTAAGATGATAAAAAAATTTATGTCAAAATATTGGAACTATCAAACCTTAATAACTCAAAAAGTTCTTAATAAAAAATACTTTATTATAGCGTTTTGGAAAGTTCTTGAGGTGAGCTATAAGAATACGCAATAAAAAATAGGAGGTCCCATTTAAAATTTTCAACCTCCCTTTTACCCCTACGTACCTGGGGAGGGGAGATAATCGGTATCCATGTCAAACGATAATTTTTTTGAAAAATCAAAATACGTGTTTTACCGTTTTCTGATATTTTCATTTTTACAAAAATTATTTAGATGTTTCCACACTTTTGACAAACCCTGTATAATAATATAGCATAAAGCCAAAGTTATAATATATATGTATATATATTTTATAATAATACATATTTTATATTATAATATACTTACGTAAATATGTTATTAACAATAATGGGATTGCTATAATTACCCAAAAATATACAGTATTGTATACAAAGTTTGTACACAGGTTCTCTTAATAATTCATTGTCAGTACGACTTTGACTTTAATATATAAATCAGTGTTATTGAACTACAAAATCATGTTCTATTTTTAACAAATTCCGAGCACTAAAATTTATAATAATAATAATTTATTTATTACATCATGTCGAAGTTCCTCCTGATAATAATTTATCATCCTCATTGATAGTACAAGACGCCACTTTTTCATTCAAATTTGCAACCTAATGTAAACAATAAATCAAATTATATATATAATTACAAATAACATCAAATTCAATATTAACAAAACTAAATAATATACTTATATTACTATAAATATAATATACACTAATATAAATAATATATACGGAGTCGTATATTAAATTATACAACAAAATAAAAACCGGAAAATTTAAGTCAATAAAATGAAGTATAATAAAATATTTCCTAGTTTTATGATTTCAAGAAGTGACCCTTAATGTATACAGGTAGAGTGAATTAAACTGAAAAGAAAAGTTATATACCATTTTATAAAATTTGCAATAGTTATTGAGTAATTAATTAAAAAGTCTAACGAATAAACATGTGGAAAGCAATAGGGCTGACTTGGTAGGCACGTAAAGCAAGAGGTGGGGTGATACATAATATGTGATAACACACCGTGCCACGAAAAAATTTGGTTCTTTAGCGACACAAGTCGACCCAAGCATTAATCTGTCTTTTTCGAACGTTCAGTGAACAAGGCTAAAATGATAGGTACTTGTGTCAACTTGTGTCGGTAAATGGAAAGCACCTTCTGTCAAGCAGTTAGCCTTAAGCCTACTTTACACGATCTATAATTCGCAACAAAATTCGAGACAGAATTCCATTTTTTATTTTTATGTATCGTGTAATACAGAAAACATTTGAACAATCAGAATTATAATTATAATGCTCCAATTTTGTAAATAGAAAAGATGCATCAAATATGTGTAGTGCATGAAAATGCGTGATTGATTAATTGTATTGTATCTATTGTATTGTATTGTAAATAAATTGTATCTGGTTTAATGAAAAACCTTAAGCATTGATTGCTGTGAGTATTTGTGTCCAATCGGCAGGGAAAACGGACCTCATCCATATGTAAATGTTATAACCTACACTAACCTAATCTACAAACATATGTCAATTTAATGTATGAAATTATAAAATAGAATTCTATCTTGAATTCTGTCGCGAATTATAGATCGTGTAAAGTGGGCTTTAGATAACAAGATGCGTAAACAATCGTTTGCTGCCTGACAACTTTTTGGTGCGGTACTTACAATTAAAAAATTTGAACGTATAGTTTTAATCTTTCAAAAATATAGCTGGTTTCTTAGACAAATCTAAAAACTTCTCTAAAAATAATAACTTTAATTTAACAAACACAAAAGTTAGAACACCTTGAAATTTAAAAGATGGTACAACCCAGTGGGAAATATAAAGTCGAAAAGATGTCATGTTGACGTCGAAATGTCGAAATGTTGACGTCGAAATGACGTCGAAAAGCCTGGTCGAAATTATATAAATTTGGTCACAAGAAACACCTCTTTTCGACGTCGAAATAAGATCCAAGGTGACGTTAAATATTGTCTCTGGCAATATGCTTTGGAGCTTTAAATCAGGTCAAATTTACGTTGATTTTAGATATGGAGACAATTTGCATGTGTACGTTTATATTATCTACATATAGAATGGATTAGCGTGGTAATAGAAGGAGTTGCACGCGTATAAACCAACAGATATATAAAGACATGTCCAGAAAGAGACAAATACATACATATGTCTCTCTTCTTAAATTACTATAATATTTGTTATAATGTATCCTCATATTATCTGTCTCTTATTCTACCTGTGCAGCCCTACTTCCACTGTTAGTAATCCACAATTCTACTTTATATGTTGATAATGTATGTATTCAAACTGTTCTTATACTTAAAATCGATATAAATTCGACCTGATATCGATGATACCTAACGCATATTATCCAAAACGCATATTCTATACATATATTGATGGTTTATATGTTTTGGAAAGCGGGTTTACATTAGAAAGAAGAATAGGATAAAATTCTATAAACTTTACGTGTATATATACATATATACCTATAGTAAATGCACACACACACGCGCACGCGCACGCACGCACGCACGCACGCATATATTATATTATATGTGTATATGTATATCACATACATGTACTAAAATATATGTATAATCAAAGTATTGAGATTTATGAGATACGAAATTATTGAAAAATAATTCGCTTTACGCTAAATGACCAAAAGGTTGATGGCGTTCCCGTTTAGGAAGAACAAAAAATATATTTGTTTAATTTCAGTCTTATCAGGTGTGATTTTATGTACGTTGTTTCGACGTGTTTCCACCAAACAACTGAAACTTGACAAGTCTCTCTAATGTTAAAAGTATTCACAACGTTGAACGTAGTAATTTAATACAAAAAATAATGTTCCGAGACTTTTAATTATTTTCAAAAACTGACGGTAGGGACGCAGTTTCGACTCCATTGACGTCGATTCGACTTTAGTGTTCTCACTGGGAAGTATGTATACGAACATCTCTTTTAATGGTGATACCATGGAGTCTGCATAAGGAGACCGAACTAGGCTTGATTACGTCACTGAACGTGGGCCGATATTATTGCAAAATTTTGAATCAAAAGTTTGCCACTTTCAGCACTGGTGTCGCCTTACGCGATTAAGCATTCGCTCATGAGTTTACCGATCTTGATCTCACTGGCTCGTAAATACAGAGTATAACTGTTGTTATCTGGAGGTCGATTTCTGGAACTTCCGAAAATTACAAAAGTGAGTGAATACTAGAATATTTACAATTTCAACCTGTGCAGTCGCTCACTTTTGTAATTTTCACAAGTTTCAGAGATACACAATCCACCACCTTATCTCTCTCACGAACGTTTCATGCAAATGACAACCATGTGACATGCACGAATGCGAGTCGAGCACGGTCTTGTATACAGGTTTCCCGACTGCCTCTAATTTTCGATGGTAGGGGTAGGTCGCTTTTAGGCTGAAATCACATGATGCGGAATAGGAGTACGGAATAGAGAGTGCGTTATAGAAACAGGCAATCAGAGCTTTGCCGTATCAACGAGTGACGGAAATGTCTGGCTCTGATTGGTTGCTTCTATGACGTACGTTCTATTCCGCAGCTCTATTCTGCACCATGTGATTTCAGCCCATAGACTTCTATAGACGGAGTATAAGCTACGACTCTGGACAAGAGGGGTCTGATATTCGGGGCGCGGGAGGCACTCATCTGACATCGACTCTTTCCGGTGAGATTCGGTAATATTCGGTTCACATTTCCAATACGTGTGCACACGTATATACGGCGCGTTGCTTGTGTGCGAGCGTGCGCGCGCGCGCGTGGCCGAACGGATCATCCCCACTCCAAGTTGGAGGGGATGATTGGAGGGGACGTGTGCACACGTATTGGAAATGTGAACCGAGTATTACCGAACCTCACCGGAAAGAGTCGAAGTCAGACGAGTGATCCCCTTACCGCGATTATCAGTTACCCCTCGTACAAAGGGTCCGTCTATAGAAGTCTATGTTTCAGCCTTAGTGAGGAAATTTTGTAGTTCTTGTAATGGCCACTAGCGTTGCAGTCTATGTTCTTTTGGAGGCGAGGCCGGCGAGGGACGCTGGAGGCCGAGGGGATATGTCGAGTTTACCGTGCATGGGACAATTAAGACAGACAGATATCCCTCCCGGCCTCCAGCGTCCCTCGCCACCAAAAGAACATAGACTGCAACGCTAGTGGCCATTACAAGAACTACAAAATTTCTTCACTAAGCGACCTACCCCCATTATCGAAGGGTGCTTACGAAGAAGCGCTCGGAGTTAGGTTTGGGTCGGACATGCGTACGCCTCTCAATGATTCATGTATTTCGTGTCTTGCCCGAACTGTCTCTAATAGCAACCCGGGTTACTCGGGTTTGGGCAGGCCGATTGAGACCCGAGTAACCCGAGTAACCCGGGTTGCTATTAGAGACAGTTCGGGCAA